CTTGTGAAGTCCACATTGATACCATTGGGCTGCAGGGTTCCCAAGCGGAATATGAGTTGCTGTTCCTGCAACCTTCGGGTGGCATCGTTGTGGCACTGCAGGAGGCCCAGGATGGACATGTCGTCTGAGGAATGGGAGGGGGAGTTGAAATGGTTCGCGACTGGGAGGTGCAGTTGTTTATTGCGAACCGAGCGTAGGTGTTCTGCAAAGCGGTCCCCGAGTCTCCGCTTGGTTTCCCCGATGTAGAGGAAAAACACACCGGGTACAGCGGATGCAGTATACCACATTGGCAGATGTGCAGGTGAACATCTGCTTGATGTGGAAAGTCTTCTTGGGGCCTGGGATGGGGGTGAGGGAGGAGGTATGGGGGCAGGTGTAGCACTTCCTGCGGTTGCAGGGAAAAGTGCCGGGTGTGGTGGAGCTGGAGGGGAGTGTGGAGCGGACAAGGGAGTCACGGAGAGAGTTGTGCAGCTATTTTAATGACTTTCCTGCAATGTTGACATCTAGTACTGTCAGCTCATTGGTCAGTTCTGACATCTTAGGGACAACTTTAACCAAACGAGCCAAGTGGGAAACTCACAGGGATCACGTATAATGCCCAATAGGGGCAAATTTAACTCCATCCTGTTGGTCAGGAAACTGAGGAGATTGAGAACAATGTCGGTTTCACAGCCACATGATTTTACTCTCCAATAAAGTTGTTATGAAAGCTTCGAATTTCGTCATTTTTATTGACTTGAGTTTGAAGGCTTGCAGAGATACCTGAAATTTTTTTTAAGTGTCAATGAAAATCTTTGGAATTTATTTTCAAGAAGGCTTTTCTTGGAAAACATACAGTTTTGTTGGTCTTTGTTGCTTAAAACTTTTCCTTTGGACTTTTCTTATCCCTGTTTTTTTTATGGTTGTTCCATTTGAACAAGGTTGGAGATTGTTTTGGATTTTCCTTTGGACACCAGCCAGCTGAAGGAGAAGGGGCTTCCCAGCTCTGTTCTCCTGTTGCTGGAAAAGCACCTTTTTCGTTCCAGTGTGGGACCTGGAGCCCTGGCCCAACTGCCCTCACATTAGAGGCCTTTGAAAAGATTTGTTGATATTTCCCGAACAACTGAACCATCAAAGATCCCCAGTGACAACTACATGTGTCAAATTCCACCTGTGTTTGTGCACCGGAACATCAGACCGACAGCCATTGGAATATCTCGAACCTTATCTTTTCTGCCATAAAGACCAAAGCCTTATTGGCCAAAATTGTCTTTATTTTAATTTCTATGGATAGAAATTCTTTTCATTTCTGTGTGTGTGTGTGTGTGTGTGTGTGTGTGTGTCTTTTGGACCATTTATGGAGGCAAATATTTATATTTTGATATTACGTGTTAAATGTGTTACACAGCTTAAATCAATAACTTTGTGTTTGTGGAAGAAACCTAGTTGATGGCAACTATGTTATTTTAAGTCTATGACAAAGGAAGGACTTGGTTGGTTGTACTGGAAGCTTGCTGAAGCAATTTTGTTGAAGTTGTGATTCCCGGAGTGGTGGGACAGACAATGCATGCTTCCCATTTCAATCATAATAATGACCATGCGAAACATTGGGCAAGTATAAAATCAATGTTCACCTCCCACATCCCCCGCAGTAGAGATTCACTCTGTGGTTGATGCTAGAACGATATAAAATGAATAATGTTAGCCAAACCTCTCTAATACATAAATAAATCAAAGCTAACTCCAGAGTTATGCTGTAGGCTTTAAAGTCAGTGTAAGAAAGAGATTAGTTCCCTCTATGGATGGATGAGAAATATATGAGAGAGCTGCACCACTATTCCAATGGGAGACTGACCTTATGTAAAGTCAGAATACCAAAATGCTTTGGAGCTGGGGATGGTGCATATGGCTCTTTTTTGCTTCCTAACCCAGTGGGAAGATTAAAGGTGAATCGAGGGAGAATATTCTTATTCAACATGTGACCAGATCCTGAAGTCCATTGCCTGAAATTATTGGAGATACAGAAAAACCCTTTCATTTCATTGGACTTGGATGTGTACTCAGATGAATTATACCAAGAGGTCACAAAGGGATTAGGTTGGTTGATTCATGGACACAATGGGCTGAATAGCCTTTGTCTGATCTTTACATTTTCAATGTTATTTTAAGCTCTCTGGGGGACAGCAACAACTGAAAGATGGTGTTTAGCATGATCTGAGTGTCAGCTATCTCTAAGACCAGCAGTCTAGAGCCTTGTTCTCAATGGTCTAAGTTCAATGATATAAGGTTACAGCAAAAACAAATAATTTGGGAAACATGTGGCCAACAAGATAAAAACTGTGAGAAATGCAAAACAGCCAGGTGACTCCTCATTGGTTTTACACCATTGCGGAAAAGTAGGGTCCACTCTGAAGAACAAGCAATATTCCAAATAAACATCCAGAAGGAGGTTACAATTCTGAAACCATTTAAGAAATACACAGATACCCACACTGGCATATGTCATCTTAGGTTCGCCTTTGACTGGATGTATAACAATGGGATACAATATCTTTCCTCTAAGTGTTTTGTGATCACACTTGCACCCTACCAGAGAAAAAATGCTGTTGTCTTTGCCAGTGAGTGGTCAGCATTGTCCCTTAATGTTTTATCTGTTGAGAAATAACATGGAGAAACAGATGAATACGATGTTGGTCTAGCATGAGTCATTAGCAAGGCATTCTGCCAAGCAACATTTGCTATTTTCATGTACTTTGTTGAGCAAAGAAATTTTTTTTTTTTTATTTATTTGAGCTGTTCCCATAGGTGTATCAATTTACATTTATTTTTATGGAGCAGCATGGGATATAAAAAGACACTCCAGTGATAAACCAAGACTTAGAAAAAGGGATTAGGTTAACTCTTGAAAGACCAGCACAGATACAGTAGCTGAACAGCCTTCATTTGGTCTTTAAATCTTCAATGTTTTTTAAAGGAGACTGATAGCTCTATGGAGGACAGCAATGACTGAAAGATGGTGCTTAACATAATCTGAGTGTCAGTAATCTCTAAATCCAGGAGCCTAGTGCACCATTTTTAAATGGCCTAACTTCAGTGATACTCAGTTAATGCTGGAGCATTTGCTGTAGTTTCTACCTGCTGATCTGAAGGTGCTGGCTCATGTTTGGAGTGTTTCTGCACAGGCACCAACTGTTCTCCAGCAACTCAGCAAAGCAACCGTTCTTTTTTGTCTGAGCAAGCACAGCAAAGACTGAAAGTTCTGAAAGCCAATGCCACTCATAGGGCCTCCACACTGGAAGAGGAGGCTGTCAGAAAATTATGCACTTGGCATGGAGTTTTCATTAGGTTTTGCGAGGTTTTTTTTCATCCACAATCTATTAAGCCATTGCGAGTGAGTGCAGAATTCCATACGTACATAATGCCCAGTGCAAAGAGTGTCTGCAATCTGTTAGCATGAATTTTAAAAGCAACTCATTAGAAAATGCCCTGCTCATAAAAATGGCAATACCCAGATCGACTCACACATGCGGCAAGGTTCCACTCATTGAACCAACCTGTGACCTTAGAGCAGATGCTCCAAATAAAGTTGCACATATTTTTAGTGCTGTGACGTTTAACAGTAATGATTAAAAAAATATTAAAATGTTAAAAGTCCACGTCTGGCTGCTCTATGCCAATGTAACTCTAGATAAATGTCATACATATGTCTATAAATGGTACTATGCGAGTTTTAAAGCAAAGGGACAGACTCTTGTTTATAACGGAAGATTATTAGAGAAGGGGATGGTATGCAGGGTTAAAGAGTTGAGGTTAAATTCAGATTAGTCATAACCTTAGTGAATGGTGGAACAGGCTCAAAGGGTCAAGAATCTCCTTTTGTTCCTTCTTCGTAATTTCAGTTGTCCACAAGAAATGGACATGAGACCATGACTTTAAATAAAAATGCTTTTTTTTTGTGTTAACCTATTAGCTGCTCTATTAATCAAGCTGCACCAAGTTACCAGCCTTGTATGTATATCTAGGATTATCTTTTAGGCTCTTAATGAATGGAATAACACAGGCAATGCAATGATTATTTTACTATGGCTACCATTGTGTGCGTTCTTCAAAAATGGCCAGAATCATTGGCAATTTCCATTTTACAGTCTGTCCTGATTCTGCCCTTACAATGTAACCATTATATAGCATCTGGCTGAATTTATTCTCCTTCCAAACCCAGAAATGTTGTAATCAATCTCAACACCATACAGTCACCTTGGCTGAAATTAACTCATGCAAAAGAGATCAGAAATCAAAATTACGACCCTGTGGTCTATATATTATATTGTTTCACACTAATCAGCAAAGTTAGCAATTTGAACCTTCTGTGAGCTAGATTTTGCTGGTTAGGCTAATATGTTACTTTGCCGTTTCACACCACGGTTTAGTGATTACTACAGAGATGTTTGTAATTTTTCAGACAATGTAAGATGCTGACTAAAACCTCAGTGACTGAAAAAGAGTAAAAGCTCCCAAAAATCTGATTTTTTTTCTGCTGTTTTATTAATTCCCTGCAACTCTGATTAATTTGATTTATTTTTGTCCTTGTGGGTTATTGTAGGTATTATTCGGACAGCTTTACCAAACATGGACAGAGAAGCAAAGGAGCAGTATCAAGTGATCATCCAGGCAAAGGACATGGGTGGACAGATGGGAGGATTATCAGGCACAACGTCTGTAAACATCACCCTCACTGATGTCAATGACAATCCTCCCAGATTTCCTCAAAGTGAGTTATAGTTAATGATTTACTGCCAAATTTAGATCCGTAATTTATCAGTATGTAGCATTTATGAATAAAAGCATAAACTTATTTGATCACCATCACATTTTATCCCAAATGAGTCCAGTTTCTACAGAGTCTGGACTATTACTGTTCAAATAATGTTCCCTTCCAATGTGGAATAGATCCATTTGTGAGATTTACATAAAGCGGATTAAAACAAAGAGTTCTGAAAATATTAAATCCATCATTTACTAACTGCCCACACACATCATCCAACATTCAAGTCAGAGAACAAATAAAAATGACAAGCATATTGAAAAAGTAGGTTTTGATTATTCAAAAATATATAAGCATGGATACTTAAATTGTATTCTATGAAGCATTCCTTTGATGGAATGGATGCTTGAGAATCAAAATAACTTGTTTGGTTACATGGGTTGGAGTGGAAGCAGAAAGCCATGCCTACTTAAGAACCGGTTGTCTGATGACCTTGTAAAGTTTTAAGAATACACAATTTCCCTACCTCTGGTTACAAGCATTCGATGTCTCAGTAAATTGTATCTGCTAACATTGTTATGGCCGAGCGAGAATAAAGGAATGCATTGTTTCTTTCTAGGCCTGTGACTCCAACAATCACAGTATAGATTTAAATGTTTTATCCAGTTACTGATCTAGCTAATTATCTACTTTATATACATTAAGTTCAGAATAAAAAGGATTCATCAATCAGGTTTCTTTAATAAGCAACACAATTATTAATTTCTTATAAAAACAAGACTTATTTGACAAAGATGCAGCACAGTGTCTCAGTGGTCAGCCTCACAGTGCCAGGAACCCGTGTTCGATCCCACCTTCAGGAGACTATCTGTGTGGAGTTTGCACATTCTCCCCGTGTCTGCGTGGGTTTTCTCTGGTTATACTGGTTTCCTTCCACATTCCAGAGATGTGCACATTAGGTGGATTGTCCGTGCTAAATTACCCATACTATCCAGGGAAATGTAACCTAGGTGGATTACCCATGGGAAATGCAGGGTTATAGGGATAGGGTAAGGAGGTGAGTCTGCGTGGGATGCTCTTCGGAGGGTCAGTGTGGACTTGATGGACCAAATGGCTTACTTCCACACTGTGGAGACTCTATGCAAAACTGACTAACACAAAGTTTGAAATATGAATGTATCAATATTTACCTTTCTAAATAACCCCAATACATGCATGTGCCTACACACATACACAGGCTAGACAAGCACACACTGACTACATGCATGTACCACACACTCACACACACACACACACACACACACACACACACACACACAAGACACAGACAACACATGTACACACAAGTTAAAGAAAGAAACAAGGAAACTTTCTCTGCAGAGATTAACTTTGGAAAAAAAATGTCTTGGCCAAAATCATTGTTAATCTTTAGAAAATAAAAGGACGGGATATGAAATGTTTCAGATTGCTTTCAGTCTGGGGTTCTTTTACACAACAGGTGACTAGACACCAACTGTTATCACTAGACACAGGCAGTTGTCTTTCTGGGATCTTTTCAGACAAAGTTTATTCAGGATTTTGAGAGGAAATCTTTTAGAAGTCTTCCAGGGAGAATAGTCATTTTAGCTTCTCAACTATCACACACAACTCTCAAAAGGGTCTCCTTAGAAAATTAGCAAAAGCTGAGTTGGGGTCTTATCTCTCCACAGGCTACATCCAATCTGAACTCCAAAAATATCAAATAGCCACATTCCCGACAGCCATAATCTCAGACATATGACTTCCAGAAAGTTTGAGCAGTTAGCTGAAGTCACCTGACTTTCAGTAAGTGCTTTTTTTAAAATGTGTTCCACAGTGTGCCTTCAATGAGTTGTAAAAATAAAGGTCCTGGTGTCTTCACAAGATCTCAAATGAACTAATTTTCACAGCCCCTCATAAACCAATAATGGAAGCCTACCGAGCAACATACATAAGATCTTTTCAAATGGCCATTATCTCACCAAAGTCACAGCGTAGGAGTGGTTCTCTGTTAGTACAATCAGGCCTGATGAGAATTTGAGAGAAAGAGTGAAGTCCACAAATCTAAAATAAGTTAGCTGGATGAAAGCGGTAAGGTATCCTTTTCAGAAATGAGCAAAGATGATCCCAGGGAGTTGAGATCTAGAGCAGTGGGGTTAGACACCGAATCCCAGGTATGTTAAGCCGGAAAGTCATTGACATGAGATAACCACTAGTTCTCAAAATTAATTAATGAAAAGAGCAGCCATGAAGGAAAAATCATACCTCAGGGTGAGGGGTGGGGCCAAACCATGACAGCTTTGGCTTAACATTTTTTTCAACCTTAAAGGGTTGAAGAAATGGATAAGGGCAGACATTGGAGACCAGGGTGTATTCTTCGTCCAATTCAAGGTCACTAAATCTTCACACTTGTCACACGTCATATGTGGACTGTGTCTGCTAGGATGCTGTGTGGTATTTGGATGTTTGCTTCTCAATGATCTATTCTAAAGTTCTCCTGGAACCCCTCAACCACTCTTTGTCAGCCACCTTTGACCCTTGATGAAAGTTTCAAACGTATATGCTCCAGTAATGCAAACAAACAACATGAATGGTAGTTTTGCTTCTCCTCCCCAACCACCTAACAAGGCAGTAGCGCCGTGCCATTTCCCCTGATGTTAACATCACTGACTTGGACACCAGCCTGAAGTCAATGACATTGGAGTGAAACTGATGTGGTTTTCCACTGGACAAAACCTGTCAAGAGCAGTGAGCAGGAAAGGCAAGCAGAGATCCAACAAGATCACCTTTATCAAAAAGGAAATCTGATTTATTTCCTGTTGTGGGCTCAGATGATCAGGATTGTTGCTTTGGGAGTCCACAACACTTACCTGGATTGCATCCTCTCTTCCTAAAATCAATGGATTCAAACTGTGTTGGGCATGTTCCCGTCGGACCATAAAGATAGTGCTCCCAATGGTATCCCAGCTCCTTATCGATCAGTAATACACTAATAAAGCCCAGTCAGTAACACTGTCCAAATTCCCCTGCCATTTCTGTGCAGTCAGAAAACTCACTTTTGCAGTTTCTCAACTGGCAATACAAACAGGCAGCAATGTAGAATCAAAACTTGCAATGGTTTCTGAAAACATATCTCCCTGGAATCTTTCCTTTTTAAGAAGAAAATATCTTTCATCTATAATAAAACAAAGAACTGCAGACGCTGGAGATCTGAAACAAACAAAATCAGAAAGTTCTGAAAAAACTCAGCAGGTCTGGCAGCATCTATGGAGAGAGAAACAGAGTCAACATTTAAGGACTAGTGACCCTTCTTCAGAATTGGATGAATATTCTTCAAATAGTTAACATTAACTCACTCGCACGTTTGTACATTCTCCTTTCATACCCTTTTACCACTTCACATCTAATGGGAATATCAGGAAATTGAATTTGGTGAAAAAGTAAATGTGAAGATACTAAATTGTCAATAAACTAATTATGAAGTTGTTGATTATTGTGAAATCCCAGCTAGTTCATGAATGGATCTTATCTTTTCTGGCTATATTCTCATGCGTGTTTGATAAGTAACTGGCTCAGTGGCTTAGTAAGTCTTTCACATCCAACAAGCGTCTTCAGAGGAAGACTTACCAAAATCTTCTCAAATCAAGTAATGGTGACAACAACTTGACAATAAACTTTAAAAAAGACAACTTGTTTTTATAAAAGCACAATGATTAACAATAATGAACTGGAGCTGAGCACATTAAATCGATCTGTGTCATTATCCTCTCATTCCAAATTTAACATCTTGTAACGTTTATCGTGCTGGTAACTCGTTGCTTGTGGGCATATATTGAGCTTCTGACACTCAGTGAATGTGTCTCAATGAAGTTGGTTAGCTCAGTTAGCTGGCCAGCTGGGGAGTGATGCTGACAGCCTGTGTTCAATTCCTGCACTGGTTCAGGTTACTATAAAGGACTCTCCTTCTCAACCTCTCCCTGTGCCTGAGGTGTGGTGATCTTCAGGTTAAACTACTGTTAATTGTCTTTCTCTAATTAGAGGGTAAACCTATGGGCCTGTTAGACTATGTCAACGTTATCTTTACTCCTCAATGGGCCATCATTTGTATCAATTGAAACTGAAGAGTTTTTGAGATTCTTAAGAGGATCAGCCCTTTTGAAAGACCTGTCATCTTTACAATTACAACCCTAAGTTAAGCCAACTTTTACATTCGATTCAATATGCTTTTCAATGTAGACCAGCCACTCATTGCAAACACTAGCTCATTCACATCTGGTTGAGTGCTATTGGAGTGTAAGCCACAGTAATATCTGATGGTGTAAACCAGAATGTCCTGTCTCTCCAGGTGTATACCAAATGACTGTCAAGGAGTCTTCCCAAGAAGGCACGGCTGTCGGCAGAATTAAAGCTTATGATGCAGATATTGGAGAGAATGCAGAAATAACTTATCAGATCATTGACGGAGATGGCATGAATATGTTTGACATTACTACAGACAAGGCCACACAAGAGGGTGTCGTGCTTGTCAAAAAGGTGCAGGCATAGTCAATAACCTTCTCTCTCTGGCATTTCTCCAGTCTCCATTTTGGGTTTTTTTTGAAATCAGATTATCTAAAACTTTGTTCTTTGAGTGCAGATGTTGGACTACGAGAGCAAGAAAAGCTATACCTTAAAGGTCGAGGCAATGAACAGTCGACTTGATCCACGGTTCCTTTACCTGGGTCCGTACAAAGACACAGCCACTGTGAGGATTGCTGTTGAAGATGTGGATGAGCCTCCGGTGTTCAGTAGACCATTTTACATGTTAGATGTATATGAAGACATTGATGTGGGGACTATCATCGGTACCATAACTGCACAGGATCCTGACGCATCTCATAGCTTGATTAGGTAAGCTTTACCATCTTTTCAGAGTGCAAGGTCTCCACATTACAGGACAGGAAACTAAGAAAATGTAGCGATGTGGCTTTGTTAATTAGTAATGGTATTAGCACAATAGACAGTGATGTCTTAAATTTAGGAAACCAGGACATAGAAGTAGTTTGGAATAGAGATAAAGGCAAGAATTCACTTCTGTGAGTGTATACAGGCCCCTAATACTAACTACATAGTAAGGGGTTTAAGGGATGAAATAATGGGAGCTTTTCAGAAAGTTATGTCAATAATCTTGGGGCATTTTAATCTACATTTACACTGGAAGACTCAGGTGGGCAAAGATGAAGAGTTTGTAGAATGATTTTGGGACAATTCATTAGAACTATGTATGTTGGAGCCAATGAGAGAGCAGACTATGTAAGACCCGATGTTGTGTCAGGAGATAGAATTAATTCATGTCCTTGTGTTGACAATACTCCTAGGTAGCTGTGATCATTGTATGATTTAATTTTACATTTAGTTTGCGAGAGAGAGAGAGAAGAGGAGTCCAAGATTGTATTTTAAACTTAAGTAAGGGCAATTATGAATGTATGAATACAGGATTAGCGAAATTGATTAGGCAAACTAGGTTAAATGATTAGCCATTGGAGGTGCAATAGCAGACATTTAAGGGATACTTCATAGTACACAGAATAGATATATTCCAATGAGTAAGGAAAATCCTAAAGAAGGATCCATCACCTGTGGTTAAATAAAAGAAGTTAAAGATAACAGTAAACATTTTTAAAAGTGCATAATTATGCAAAGATGGGATGAGTTCAGAAGATTGGATGGAATATATGGAACAGCAAAAGATGAGTAAAATTTAATAAGAAGAGAATAAATTAGAGTACAGAGAAAACTGACTGAAAATACACAACATATAGTGACAGACATTTAAAACAGAAAAGAGTTTGCAAAGTCAGCATTGAAAATAAAAAATTGTGGAGATCACAACGGATCAGGCAGCATCCATGGAGAGAGAGCAAGCTAATGTTTCGAGTCTAGATGACTCTTCATCAGAGCTGATGGGAAATGCAGAGGGGACAACATTTATACTATAGTTTGGGGGCGGGGGTAGTAGATGGAGGGTATCAGTGGGGAAAAGATGTTGATCATATCTGTCTTTGGCATACACTGTTCTAAAAACCATGTCTTTGGAAAGTCTGACTTAATTATTTTTTAAACCATTTCACAACAATAGACCAGCAGCTATATGACATTAGTATGGTATCCAAACTCTAGAAAATGCTTTTAATATATAAAATAACACAGATTCCATCACACAGGACACTTTGAAATGTTCAAGGTAATTAGGCAGAGTCAGTGTTGTTTCATGCAAGAGAAATTATGATTAACCAATCAGCTGGAGTTCTTTGAGGAAGTAACACATGCTGTGGATGAAAGGAAAACGGTGCATATAATGTATTTAAATTTACGTGAACTATTTGATAAGGTGCCGCATCAAAGGTTATTGTGGTATAAAAGCTCATGCTCATATTGGCATGGATAGAAGACTCAATAGTTGACAATAATCAAACATCAGGCATAAATGAATTATTTTCTAGATTTAATGAGTGATGTGCCACAGTAATCAATGCTGAGGCCTCAACTGTTTACAATTGACGTAAATGACTTGGACAAAAGGACCCTTGGAATCAGTGCCAAACAATCAGCAGCTCCTCTCATACAACAGAAAGTGTTTCACCACTCCTATTTCTTTCAAGTTATCCTGATGAATGCAAGATGAAAATCTTTGATAAAACATGTCTCTTTTCAGCAATCTGTGGAAACAGGCCAATCCAGCCCAACAAGTCCACATTGACCCTTCAAAGAGCATCCCACCCAGACCCATCCCTATAATCCTGCATTTCCCATGGCTAACACACATAACCTATACATCCCTGAACACTAGGGGGCAATTTAGCACGGCTAATCCACCTAACCTGCACATCTTTGGACTGTGGGAGGAAACCAGAGTACCCAGTGGAAACCTGCACAGCCATGGGGAGTATGCATGGAGTTTGCACAGACAGTTGCCCAAGGGTGGGATTGAACCCAGGTCCCTGGTGCTGTGAGGCAGCAGTGCTAACCATTGAGCCACTGTGCCACCCTTACTTAGATGTTTATTGTCACATACTGTCCTGAGTGTGTACACAATATTGTGAGACACATTTTGTCTTCTAAAAGAAAAATGGCTAATTCTAATCAAGAATTCCAGAATTATAATGCACTCTTAACTAACATAATGTGTGGTTATATTGTAGTCATTTTGTGTCAATTGCATTGTGTATGGATTAAAACATACCACTGAGCTCTTTGGGATACCAATGCTCTTTGTGTGGATTTAATTTCCGATATGTGTGCCCCCATGTGTAACTCACACTTTGGGCAATCAATCAAAGAGATTAGGGCAAAACTGAAATGCCAAAGTTTGATAAAAAAAAACTTTCTTCTTCAGTGGGACATGGGCACTGCACTGTTTGAGCAATGAACATGATGCAATATGAAGGGACACAGTATTAAGAACAACTACTAGTGTTTTGCATATTTAAATGGAGAGAAACTTCAAAGTTCCTCTTCAAAGAGGGAGCTGGGAGTCCTTGTGCGTGGATCACAGAAAACAAGCATGCAGGTACAGCAGATAGTAAGGAAGGCAAGTGGAATTTTGGTATTTATTGCTAGAGGCATACAGTATATAAGTAGGGAAGTTCTGATGAACAGTCATAGGGGTCAAAGTGTTGACTCTGCTTTTACCCCACCGATGCCGCCAGAACTGCTGAATTTCTCCAGCAATTTCTGTTGATGTTTCAGATCTCCAGTATCTGCAGTTCTTTGTTTTCTTAAAGCAGGGAAGTGTTGCGCTCACTGTACAAGACACTAGTTAGACCACACCTGGAGTGTTGTATACAATTTCAGTCCCATTACTCAAGGATGGATGTAGTGGTATTGCAGGCAGCTCTGAGGAGGTTCACCAAATTGATTCTAGAAATGAGAGGTTTGGCTTACGAAGAGAGATGGAGCAGTTTAAGGCCTATACTCTCTGGAGGTTAGAAGAATGAAAGGAGATCTGATTGAGATGTATAAGACACTAAAGAGAATTGACAAAGTAAACGTAGGAAGGATGCTTTTTCATGAGTGGCAGTCTCGAGCGAGAGGTCATAGTTTTAGGATGAGGGATAGCAGATTGAAAGAAGTATCTCAAAGGCTGGTGAATCTGTGGAACTCACTATCCCAGAGTGTGGTGGGACATTGAGTAAATTTAAGGAGGAGAGAGACAGGTTTTTAATGGGTAACGAGTTGAAGGGTTATGGAGAGTGGGAAGGAAAGTGGAGTTGAGACCAAGATGCAATCAACCATGATTGTATTAAATGCTGAGACAGGCTTGAGTTGCTGAATTCCCTACTCCTGCTCCTTGATCTTACATGAATTAATGTGTTGGTTCAGACATTCTCCTGATATTTTTTGCTTACACCTCCAACAAAAAAAAAAATTCTTGTCGGAAAATCAAATCTGTTATAAAGCAACTATTGTACCCATCCATGTAATGTGAATGAGACGGAGAATTCAGGATAAACTGTTAGCTTAAAATGGTGGCATCAGCTTCAACATTCTTCTTACTGCTTTGAAAGTTACACTGTACCATGCTATTAGGTGAACATTGCATTGTTGACAGCATTTGTCATTTTTTTTAACAGGTAGAATAATACAGACAACCTTTTACTGAATACATAAAACAATAAAGATAGAACAGGTTTTCAATGATTCAAAATAGATGTTATTAGAACATAGTTCTTCACAGCTTAATAAATTATAAAACTTCTGGATTAGCAAGTTTACTACTTAGATCTTTACGAAGTTGCATATGAATCATGCACTTTTGCAAATTGGCAAATTCAGAACTCCAACAGAACTTAACATAAATAATTTTAAGGTAAATAATTTTAGTGCCAAGGGAATCCTGTCAGTTTACATTCAAGCATTTTAAATCAGAGCTCGCACCTTGTGTGTGAGTTTTGATGCCTTGCTAATAAAACCCTTTTGAACAGATCATACTGCAATTGACCGGCAATCAGAATAACTTAATTTCTGTGTTCCATGGTCTGTTGATCCACTTGTATTAACACTTCAAAGGATAGCCCTAGACATCAAACAAACCTTGATTTAGTTTCAGAAGAGAGGTGCTGTTAATGAGGAAGATTCAGATCAGATAAGGCAGTCCCACTGTCACAGCGAATTCAGCATACTTTTCACAAACACAAGTAACTGAAGCCAATTTTCATGCAGATTCTCATACTTGGTTTTAAAAGCAGCAGAATTGCCAGAAGGGAATAAGTTACTTCAAACACTGTCTCACCATTACATACAAATCAGTAATGTAATCATGATGCACTGCAGAAACTCACCAAGACCACTTAGACAGCGCCTTCCAAACCCACAACCACGTCCATCGAGAAGGACAATACATGGGAACACCACCAGCTGCAAATTCCTCTCCAAGGCACAGCTTCAGGGTCTCTTATGAAGGAATTTTACAAATTGTGACCAGAAGATATGTTTCATTTATTGCCCCTTTTTTCTTTTTGTAACTTTTTTGTACATATGTGCATTAATCACTGAAGGTAGTAGGACAGATCGAATGAGCAGTTAATAAAGCGTACAATGCCCTAGGCTTTATTAATAGGACCACAGAGTCCAGGAGCAAGAGGTGATGTTGAACTTGTGTCAGACATCAGTTAGACCTCAGCTGGAGTAATGTGTACAGTACTGAGTGCTGCACTTTAGGAAGGATGTGAATGCACTGGATAGAGTGCAGGAGAGGTTCTCAAGAAAAGTTCCAGGCATGAGAAACTTCAGTTACGAAAATCGAGTGAAGAATGCAGGACTGTTTTCCTTGAGAGGAGAAGGCTAAGAGGAGAGTTGATGGATGTTTTCAAATTGTGAGGAGGCTAGTCAGAGGTGATGGGGGGAAATGG